ACTCATTCGGGAGTGTCAAATACATCAAAGAGACTGTGGGGAATTTTCATCAAGCATTGTGAATAGAGTTATGTGCCCCTCCAAAAGTTATATTCAAGTTCTACAGGCCAGTAATTGTGACCATGACCTTATTTAAAAATATGGCCCTTACAGATGTAATCAAGATTAGGTTATACTGGATTAGGTGTCCTTACTAAAAAAAAAAAAAAAGAGGGAGATTCAGACACAGAAACACAGAGACAAACACACACTAGAGAAGGCCACGTGATGATGAAGCAGAGATTGGAGTGACACAATTGCAAGCCGAGGATTTACTGGGACTGACAGCTGTCACTTTGGTCACATCTAGAGGTTGTCCTGCTGACATCATGACTTCAGGCATTTAACCTCTAGACCCAGAACTGCCAGAAAATAAATATCTTTGTTTTAAACCACCCAGTTACTGGTAATTTGTTAAAGTAGCCCTAGGAAACTAACACATTAAAAATGATTAAATGATTAGGAAGCTTACTGGGGGTGTCTCAAAGAATAACTACATAGAAACAGAGACAAAACAAATGACAAATGCCCAGGAAGTGTCTGAGGGATAAAGAGATTAATGTCATAATCTTCAACCATTTTTTCAAAATGGACTGATCAAAGCAAAAGTAAATTATGCATTTTCACTTATATAACAATTGCTTAAAAGTTTTCCATCAAGCATTTTTCAAGTCTATGATAAAATGCAAGCTTTTATGTGCTATTGGGAGTTTGTGAATTAGGGTAATATTCTTGGACAACAATTTGAAATGTCTTGCAAGATAAAAATTCAAAGCATCTGTGGCCTTGCAAATTTACTCCTATTTTAGAAAATTCCTTTCTAAGTATATTTTGGCCAATATTATATACATCCATTTTCACAGTTACATTCATATTGAAATAAGAGGTACTTTTTCTCTTCTCCCTCTTTTTCTTTCCCTGCTGTGTAATCTAACTCAGCTTTTCCTTGTAGCCAGCTCTGTGTGCAGAGAATCAGGATACCATTTCATGTTACGAAGGTCAATATGTAGTTCAGTCTTAAAATAACATAAAGACTAGACAAATACTTCTAGCTGACTCCAACTAGCTCTGAAACCTGTATTGGCCATAGTTAGGTATTGCTAGTAGAGGGATTACAATAACTAGCAGCTTCCATTATTTCTTAAGGATAGATTTCAAATGACTTCAAACACTGTTTTAGTTTTTTAAAAATATTGAAGTATGACTAACATGTAGAAAACTTGACATATTTCATTTATGCAACTTATTTTTAAGAACAAAAGAAAGTATCTATCACAAATCTCATTGTAGAAATGCTTGGGTATAATCAATATTTTTCTCAGTATTAATATTTTATTAAATTTAAACAGTGTAACCATTTTAAGATGATTAATTAAAAATAGTCATCCTTATCTTTGCATTCTACAAAAAATGTCTTTACAATTACCCCAACTTTGGACCATTGCTGAGGACTAGATATAAAAAAGACAGACAAATGTAATTGGCTCTTTTATTCAGCAGTTCAACCATGTTGGTACCATGGCACTGTAGCCTTCAAGATATGCAATTTTTATCTTTGAAAAATTTTTAAAGTAGATTTTTGTATGTAATCTTAAGGGTTCTTCATTATATTGGCATTCAAATTGGCAGAGAAAATAATACTTTGTATACTATTAAGGAAACTTCAAAGGAATTAAGAGTATGAATATGAGTTTATTTTTAAATTATAAGGTTTCTATAAAATAAACCACAAAGGATTACTTTAATTTTTCTTTGAGGAATACTGTGTGAATGAGATTTTATTCTCTTGGAATATCTGATAGAAAAAGCTTTCTGTTAAATCAAGTATCTTTTTGTTGACTTGCTGGTGACATTAAATAGGGATATTATATAGTAACATGATAATTATTACTGCATAGGATTTCTTACTGGAATTAAAATTTTAACAATGGAATTGACAGAAATTATATTGTTTTGATATATAAATAGAATTTTTTCTCTAATCTACTCTAACCTAGGCACATACCCAGTGCGATGTTTACATGTGCTTTGTTTCTTTTGCCTATTGATTTAAAAATTAATTATGGTAAAGGCAATAGCCTTTTTTTTAATTCTGGGAGAAAACAGAAATAAAGTAAGTATCAAAATTTGAACAAATGTGGATTCTCAGGTATCATTTTGAATTTTAGTTCCATTTCAATGATGACATATAAGCTAATCTAATTGGCTATATTACTGAGGTTATTAAATATTTGCTTTCAATTAATAGATGCCTACTAACAATTTATAATACTTTTAGCCATTTACTAATTAGACATCACAGGTAAGACATTTTGCTTTTCCCAAGTAATGATTACTTCTATCCGATACGTAGTAGTACAAATTTATTGGGTATTTTTGGAAGGATAACTTACAGAAAGCAATTATATTCTGATAAAAAGGTATCATTACACAAAATATTAAATTATGTTTCTATGAGTCCTCATGAGAGACTGGGAAATACCAGACTTATTTCCTCTGTGTAGTGCCAAGACTGGTAACAAAGTATGGGAAGAATACATATTTGAGTCAGAAAGACAGCAGACTTGTGTTTAAATGTTCAGCTGTGGAACCAAACAGCCTAGACTCAAATCTCAGGTCAGCTACTAACTTAAGCAAGGTACTTAAACCTCTCTGAAATTCAACTTTCTTATACACAAAAAGGGAATGATAAAACTATATTATAAGACTTTTGAGGGAATTAAATAACACATTTATAGCACCTGAAACAAATAATCATTACTTAACCCTTGACATTAGATCAGTAGAGCTTAGAAAGTTGAAGCAATGTCAGCATACGGCCAAACACTTGGCATTGCTTGCTTACTTCTACTATATCCCTGAAAAGACTCACAAGTTTGCATTTGTGTGTATGTGTTCCACCCTAGAATAATACCTGGGAACCTGGGAAAGAGGACATTAGAAGAGGCAGCTAATATGTATAGGAAAGGTAGAAAAATCGATTTTCTCAGGAGATTTTAAAAGCTTTTGCATATGATCCAAGATAACTGGGGAAGTTGCCAAAGATATGGTTATGTTATTTTTTTCTTCTTCAGATGGCAGAATTACTTGAGAAGCCTGCAGTCTACTTCCAGAAATGTACCTAATAAAATAAATGCAATAAATATGAATGTAGGACCTTGTGTGTTTTCAACTCCTTAGAACTAGAAGTAAAAGAAACCTAAAGTCATTGTTCTCCACCTCTATTGAACTTATGAACTTGGACTGTGCTAGCAGTGTCCCCTTGGGAAAAGCTAAATGTACTAGTTTCCTAAGAAGTAGGAAAAGGAATTTTAGAATATTTAGGGTTTCTGAATGGAGGTGAGATGAGGAAATAATCTGAAATAAATCAGAAAGATGACTTTTATCTTAGGCCATGCTTATGTAGGATCTTTGGGGCATTATTGTTCATGTGATTAAAGAGAAAAGATAACAAAAGTTTTCAGGATCTTTTAAGCTCTTTTTATCAGAAGAGAAAGAGACTATTACATATTTGAGTCAGTAAGGGGAGGAACATTTAACCTCAAATCAAGAAAAGTGAGCAAAAATAACAAGCTGGTCATAGTTTGAATTAATTAAAGGATAAATAGACTCTTCACAGATCTTTTCTTTTGTTGCTTTAATTTGTATTGTGCTTTAATTAGCATCAGTGGTGCACTTAACGTGCTAGTGGTTCTGTGAGGATATAGACAGAAAGGCCTGAACCCATGACAAGTGAAAAAAAAATCAAAAAGTGAATAACAAATGACTAAATCTGTGCATGTGAATTATGACATGTATCTGTGATCATTAAAAATAAATTAAACTGTTTTACCTATCAGAGATACCTACTAGCTTCATTATTAATAATTATAATAATTATGTTTCATATCCCACTCTTTTGAATATACATAAAAATCAACATTGGAAAATATTATCCTTTTCCATTTTTGAACATAATGGAAAATTAGTTTAGAACACTATATCACATAGCTCTATCTCATAAAATTTCTGTGATGATGGAAATGCACTATGGTTTAGCTGTCCAAATCAAAAGGAAATTTTAAAAAGTACATGAGACCAACAACAATGGAAACACAATATTGCAACATTCACAAGATGCAGTAAAAGGAGTTCTAAATGAGATATTTATAACATGTCTAAATCAAAAATATCAAATAAAGAATTTATCATTAAAACTTAAGGAACTAGAAAGAAAAGAACAAAGTACTTGTAAGCCCACATTTAGCAAAAGAAGGAAATAACAAAGAATGGAGCAGAAAAAAGTAAAATTCAGGCTAGAAAAACAAGAGAAAAAAAAATCAATAAAACCAAGAGGTGATTTTTAAAAAAATAAACAATCAGCAATCATTTACTAGACTAAGAAAATAAAGAGAAGACTCTACTATACAGTATAAAATCAGAAATGACAAAGGAGACATTACAGCTGATACCACAGAAATTAAAAAAGTTAATAATCATACAGTAAAATATTGGATAACCTAGAATAGATAAATTTCTAGACATTACAACCTACAAAAACTGAATCATGAAGTAATAGAAATGACAAGTAGGAGAATGATTTATTAATAAAAAGACTCCCATCAAAGGATATTTGCATATTTTTAATCAGACTAAAGCTTGATAACTAGGATCTATAGAGAACTCAAATTAATTCACATGAAAAAAGTCAAAAATCCCATATATAAATGGGCAAGAGAGAGTAGAATCTTCTCTAAAGAAGACAGACAAATGGCTAACAAATATATGGAAAAATGCTCATTATCCCTAATTATTAGAGAAATGCAAATCAAAACCACCCAGAGACATCTTCTAACCCCAGTGAGAATTGCCCACATCACAAAATCTCAAAACTGTAGATGCTGGCGTGGATGTGGAGGAAGGGAACACTTTTACACTGCTGGTGAGACTGTAAACTAACACAACCCTTGTGGAAGGAAATATGAAGACTCCTCAAAGACCTCAAGCTAGACCTCCCATTTGATGATCCTGTAATCCCATTACTGGGCATGTACCCAGAAGGAAAAAAATCCTTTTACTATAAGGACACTTGCACTAGACTGTTTATTGCAGCTCAATTTACAATTGCCAAAATGTGGAAACAGCCTAAATGCCCACCAATCCAGGAATGGATTAACAAGCTGTGGTACATGCATACCATGGAATACTATTCAGCCATTAAAAAAGATGGAGAGTGGGCAGCACCTGGGACTCAGTGGGTATGGCACCAGCCCCATATACTAAGGATGGTGGGTCCGAACCTGGTCATGGCCAAACTGCAACAAAAAAATAGACAGGTGTGGCTGGCACCTGTAGTCCCAGCAACTTGGGAGGCTGAGGCCAAAGAATCACCTAAGCCCAGGAGTTGGAGGTTGCTATGAACTGTGACACCATGGCACTCTACTGAGGGCAATAAAATGATACTCTGTCTCAAAAATAAATAAATAAATACAAAATAAAAATTAAAAAGATGGAGACTTTACATCCTTTGTATTAACCTGGATGGAAGTGGAACACATTATTCTTAATAAAGCATCACAAGAATAGAGAAGCAAGAATCCTAAGTACTCAAAACTCATATGAGGACAGGTGATGACCTAGTACATGGTAGGGAGTGGGGGAAAGGGAGAGCAGAGAGACGGAAGGAGGGAGGAAGGTGAAGGAAGGGGAGAGCAGAGAGGGGAAAGGAGACAGGGGGTAGGGGAAGGGAATAGCAGAGAGAAGGAAGGAGGGAGAGGGTGGGGAGTCACAGTGTGTGACACACCTTTTGGGGGCCAGGACACAATTATAAGACAGGCTTTACCTAACAAATGCAATTAGTGTAATCTGGTTCTTTATACCCTCAATGAATCTTCAACAATAATAAATAAATAAATAAAAATTAAAAAGATCCCATCAAAGAGTAGCCCTAGACTAGATAATATATTAATAAAGTAAATTAAGCAACATATTGAAAGAATCATTCACCATGATCAAGTGAGTTTTATCCCTAGAATCTGAGGATGGTTCAAAATAAAAACATCAATAAATATGATACACCACATTAGCAGAATATAGAACAAAAACCATATGATCATCCCAATAGATATAGAAAAAGCATTTGAAAAATGTCAACATCCTTCTTGATAAAAATAATCCAATAGAATAGGTATGGAAAAAATGCACCTCAACACAAAAAAGCCATATATGATAAGCCTATAGATTATAAGATACTTAGCAGTGAAAAGTTGAAAGTTTTTTTCTCTAAGATCAAGAACAAAACCATGACCCTTACTTTGAACCCTTCTTTTCAATGTAGTACTGTAAGTCTTAGCCAGAACAATTAGGCAAGAGAAATTTAGAATAAATAAAATTGTTTCTGTTTATTGACATTATGATATATATATATGCTATATATGTCTGTTTACTGACAATATGATTATATATGTGTGTGTGTATTTCTAAAGACTCCACACAAAAAAAATGGTTAGAACTAATAGTTCAATAAAGTTGTGGGATACAAAATTGGCAAACAAAAATTAGTAGTGTTTCTACAGACCTACAATAAACTACATAAAAAAAAAAAAAGAAAACAGTTTCAAAAACAACAAAAAATATTTGATATAAATTTAACCAGGGAGTTTTAAAAAAAAGTATAACAAAAACTATAAAACACTAATGAAAGAAATTGATGAAAATGTAAAGAAATGGAAAGACACTACATGTTCATAGATTAGAAGAATTAATATTGTTAAAATTTCTGTACTGGCCAAAATGATCTACCAATTCAATGGAATCCCAATAAAAATCATAATGTCATTTGTATAGAAATTTTTAAAATCCTAAAATTCATATAAAATCAGACAATACACCAAAATCAAAAATAAGTTTTAGCAGAAAGAACAAAATTATATGTATCACAGTTTTTGGTTTCATAATATATTATAAAGTTATCATAATCAAAACAACATGTTACTGGCATACAAACAGGTGTATAAACCAATGGAATGGGATACAAAGCCCAGAAACAAGCCCCTACCTTTATGGCTAATTAATTTTCAACAAAGTACCAAGAGCACATGATGGGGAAAATACAGACTCTTCAATAAATGCTATGGAGAAAACTTGATATCCATATGCCAAAGAATAAAATGGGATCTTTATCTTACACCATGTATGTGTATAAGAATCAATTCAAAATGTATTAAGGGTTAGATACTATGCAAGAAAAACAGATGAAGAATTCCCATCTTTTGTGTTTACTTGGATGGAGCTGGAACATATTATTGTTAGTAAAGTATCTCAAGAATGGGGAAAAAAACTATCCAATGTATTCATTACTACTACGAAATCAGTATATAATCATCTACACATTAATAGGAATGGTAAAACATAACTATAGTCCAGAAAGGAGGGAAGAGGAAAGAGAGGGGGAGGGGAGAGGGAAGGCTGGGAGGAGGGAGGGTATTTAGGGGATCCAAATTAATGTGCATAATGCAAGGATACATTTCTAAACTATTAAGAACAGAGTATGAATGCTTTTACCACAACAAATAACTAAGCAAGGAAACAGTTATGTTAATCAGTTAGACACAAGCGTTCCACATTGTATATCAAATCAGCATATTGTACCCCATAAATGCATTAATGTACACAGTTATGATTTAATACAGAATTTTAAAAAAGAAAACAATCAACAATATGTGTCAGGAAAGGAGACAAAGAATAGAATGCAAAGAAATGGTAATTGTAATAAAGTGTGTACAAATTTAAAAAAATAAATAAAATTTTATTTCCTCTCAACAAAAAGGTATTAAGCACTTAAACATAAGACCTGAAACTGTAAAACTACTAGAAAAAAAACACAAGATAAAAGCTCTACAACATTGTGATTTGGCGGGGCGGCGGGGGGGGGAGTGAAGGTGGAGATACTGCTTTGAAAGCACAGGCAAAAAAAGCAAAAATAGACAAATATGATTCAATCAAACTAAAAAGCTGCTGCTAAGCAAGGGAAACAATGAAATGAAATAACAGCCCATGAAAGGGAAGAACTGTCTGCAAACCACACAGTTGAAAAGCAGTTAATATCCCAAATGTATAAGGAACTCAATAGCAAGAAAAAAGATCTGATTAAAAAATGGATGAAGGACCTGAATGGACATTTCTTAAAAGAAGACATAAAGTGGTTAGCATGTTTATGAAAACTGTTCAATATCACTGATCATTAAAAAAAGCAAATTAAATACAATGAGAGATCATAGAAAAAGAACATAATATGTGTATTAATTCCCTGATAAACTCTCTGATGCCTTTAAAATTCACATTCTTGCCTGAATACTCTTTTGATTATTTCTTTATATGACACAGTTTTATAGTATTTTTAGTATAAATAAAATAGAAAAACCATTTCATTTTCCTCTCGCATGCTTGATTTAAATTTATTACTGGATATTGAAATATTCAAAAGTTAATTTTGGGTTCACTACTCATGATTGCATTGCCTATTTATTTTAAGGATTATTGCCAAATTTTGAAAATATTCTGTCAAATTTTCTTGACATAAAGCAAAATTTTAGGTCACTAAAAAAGTTCTTGTGACATGATTAATATTAGTTAACATTTTTATGAGGTATTGATGAGAACTGAATCAATCACTTAAAAGTTTGCACATCTGGTAATTGTCTCCATATTTTTAAATCTTGTTTCTCCTTCAATACCCATAGACTTCCATTGTTACATATTGTCTAACACCAGCATGTCTACAGGTACTAAAAGAGAAATGCCTTCAGCCCCAGCAATTTGTGTCACCAGGCTAATTGATTTGGCATGTAGATGGTAGGAGTATTTTTGGAAGGCATTCTGACACTTGGAGGGATATCAGTTAACAAATTATATATAATTGTGGTTGGAAAATAACACCACACTAATCTCAAACTGATAGCATCCTCTGACCGACTTCTCAGTGTATCCTCTGAATGCCAGACTCTCTTATTCAATGGAAGTACAATGAGGGGATATCAGGATAGAGGACATAACTTATTCTCCTGCAAGTAAAGCATCTTTTCAATTTTTACAAAACTACATGATCATGCAGAAACATCACTAGGAGCCCTCCTTGATGGTCTCTCTTGAAATGAGGATTCCTGAGGCTTTTATTAGCATCATAGGAGATCAATCTTTGCATATAATTATCAGTTTTGTCCCTTTTTCTTCACATTGAGATGCTGTGTAATTGTTGTACTATGAATTCATTTAGTAATCTACTTAATTTGTATTCATGCTTTTGAGGCCTTTCCCTTCATTTATTCTAAAATAACTGTCAAAATAAATATTGCTTAAAAATGCATCAAACATATTTTTTGCATTCAGTTAGTTCTGTCAAAGATTCACCATTGCCCATAAAATAATTCACAAATTTTTAATCTGGGATTCAAGCCTCTCCTCATTCAAAGCTGCTTTTACTTCTTCCACAACCTTGATCTTCTGATTAATTCTGTATTTGTCTCTGCACTTTTCTGTTCTTCATGGTCTTTGCTCAGGTGCACTCTTCCCTTAAACCACAGTGTAACATCCAAGTATTCATGAAATTGTTTTTGAAGGAAAGCATTGTGTCTTGGGGTAAGCAGTGTTTCATTAAACAGCACAGAGTTAAGGGTGGTAGCTCACACCTGTGGAAGGATCAGTTAAACCCAGGAATTCTAGGTTACTGTGAGTATGATCACTGCACTCTCACCTGGGTAACAGAGTGAACTCATTTCCAAAAAAAAAAAGGCAGCAAAAGAACAGTGCAAAATGCACTTATCATGAAAAAAAATTTGAAATCTCTCTATTTTAAAAATTAAGAAATTTTGTGTATGAAAAGACAAAAACCCTGAGTTAAAACACAACCTATAGACTCAAAGAAAGTATTTGCAACACATATGTATAAGAATGTTCTCAGATCCAGAATATATAAAGAATTCCTACAATGCAATAAGTATAAGACACTAGAAAAAATATACAAAAAACTTGAATAAATACTTCTTCATAGAAGTTACCTAAGTGATCAATTACTACATGAAAGTTGTCCCACTACTTTACTTGTCAGGATAATTTATACTAAAACACCAAAGAAGTATTGCTCTACTCTCACCAGAAAGGCTAAAATTACAAAGATTGAAATTACTAAGTGTTGTTGCAAATAATGCTCCAACTGCTAATAGGAGCATCAATCATTATAAGCCCTTTGGAAAATTGTCAATGTCATCTGCTACACTTGAATATATTCACCGATTATGCCCTAATATTCAACGCCCAAGTATGTACTCACCTGAAATATTTACCAGAAAACACAGAATATTCACAGTGAGATACGGAAAGAACAGGCCCTGCTCCATAAAGTCACAAGACCCAAACCAAAGTCTCTGATAAAACCAGATGTGGTGAAGAAACTGGCCAAAACCACCTACAGTCAAGATGGCAACAAAAAAATGACCTCAGTGCTTCCACAGCTTATTATACCCTGCTTACACGAAAAGAAACTCCTACCCACAGCATGACAGTTTACAAAGGTCATGGCAATTACCCTGTACAGTTTAAAAGAGGAAGGGACACTCAGTTCCGGGAACTCTCCACTCCTTTCCCAAAAATCCTATTAATAATTCTCCCTTTGCCTAACATAAAACTAAATAGAAGATACAAAATAAGACTTCAGAAACTCAGAAATTGCTACTTTTTGTTGCTCTGAACGATAGTTGTGCTCTGCTTATGGGGCAAGCCTTCCTTCTGTTCCTTTTTTACTTCAGTAAACATGCTTTTGCTTTACTCTGTCAGCTTGCTCTTGAATTATTTAGCACAGAAAGGCAAGAATCCACTTGGCTTTTAGGTGGGATCCCAGTTTCAGATCCTGTATCAACAGCAGCACTATTCATATTAGTTCCAAACTACAATCTACTCAAGTATTCATTAATAGGCACATAGATAAATAAAATGTGGAATATTCAAAAAATGGAATATCATAAAGCAGTAAGATTTAGCAATCTATAACTATCTGTGACAATGTGGCTGAATGCCCTAAACATAATTTTTGGCGATGGACACAAGAGTACATAGCTTTTTTCCATTTTTGTAAAGTACAAAGCCAAGCAAATCTATTCCACGTTCTTAGAGACCAGAATAATGGTTACCATGTGCGTGGAGTGGGAAGAGTATTGGCTAAAGAAATTGGGATTGTCTGGGAGATAGTGATGTTTCGTGTTCTGAGCAAGCTATTGATTGCATAGCTGTCTTCACCTCAGCATTCAGCAAATCATTTAATTATTGTTTTCTTTCTACATATTATAGTTCAAAGCAAAGCATTTTAATCTTGATTTTTGAACTATTAAACCCATTTATATTAAATGAGACTGAGCCAGTTTCTTCACATACATATACAGAAAGTCTTTAGAAAGCTAATTTCATGAATTGCTGTAAAAGCAGACCCCTCCGAGAAATCAACCAGCACTACTTTTTGGACTAAGTTTACACATGGTGTCTGGGTATTAATTGTGAAAACATTGCCTAAGCAGAAGTTTTGTAAATTATTTTTAAAAGAGCTTCTGTTATCTTTTGTGCAATAGACATGAATGGATTTTTTGAATAGCTGGAGGGTTTATGAAATCCAGAGGATGTCGCCAGCCACTCCTTTGCACATTCCAAGAACCTGAACACGGTCCAGCGGAGACCATGCCTGGGTTCATGAGAACAGCTCCAGGAGCTGGTCATAGCATTAACATTCAGTGGGAGTGCACTGAGAATCTGATTCAAACTCTGGCACTGCTGGGCTTTGTGGTTGATTTTTTTGTTTATTTTGCAAAACTTCCTGAGGGGTGGAGCATCTAATTTCAACGTCCTTTTGAAGAAAGGACTTTCCTGCATTGATCACAATTTTCAGAAGAGGAGAACCGGGCTGTGTGAGCAGTGTCAGCTCTTAAATGTACTCCTGAAAGATCTAAAAAATGAGATTTCCAGCAGAGATTATTTGGCTTATTTTATGGACTGTTTGTGTAGCAGAAGGTAAGATTAAAAAAGGTAGATATTTTCCTATGACCATATTATAAAACATTTGCTAATGGTACTTTTCACAGTGGTAATAAAACTTTGATTCAGAAAAAGTTCTTTAGTTTCTATTCTGTAACTTAGGATTTGAGTGGCTTTTGACATTAAATTTGAAAAATGTAAGTACTTTACTTGAATGGTGGATTGGATTATTCATCATAATCTTTTTAAATGTAAAATTTAAGAAAATGCCATAATAGATGATTTTCTGGTAATTATCATAAAATTTGATTTACCTTCTTTGCTTAGAAGTTTCAACAAAATGCTTTCTGTGAATGTATTAAGAAGTATGTGAACATAGTCAATAAAAACCTTCAAATCATATAATTAGTAGATTCATTTCAGATAACTTTAACTCTTCCTGAAGAAAAAAATTATCATTTGCCACTGATATTGCTGTGGCCTTAAAACTCTTGTAACAAGCATGTATTTTCAAGATGTAAATAAATTTGATACATAATTTATTATACAATATTTATACCATCTAAGTTGTTCAATAAGCTTTATTTCCCCCTCACTAGTTGTATATAAGATATATTTTTGAAGCTCAGTCTTTTGGAGTAGCAAATATGAGTGTAGGCATTTTTGTTCTGATCTCACTGACGTAATCTCTGGATTCATGATTAAATTTAACTATATCACTGCTTGTTGGTAGATTAAAAAGTTTATTCTTAGAGGAAGTTTTCTTTTTTCTTTCATGATCGGTAACTAGTTACATGATAGATATTTGATCAACATTTTTTAGACCAAATAAATTACATATTATTTATATAATTTCCCAAAACTTTTCACTTAGTCAATAAATTTTGCTGGAGTATCTACTGCACAGCCTCTAGGAACTGAGGAAATAACAAAATACTTCTGTCCTTGAGAGTCTTCCACTCTAGAAAATGAAGGCAGATTTTTTTTTAATAGCTGTATCCTTTAGTAATTTTCTAAACAACTTATTTAAATGTTTTAATATTTTAGGAAATGTTGAGACTTTTTTCAATTGCATGTTCTAATATACTATTGCTTGAAACTTAGCTGGTAAACCTTACATGCAGCCATCGTTTAAATGAGGAAGACAATCGTCTTCTGACATATATATTACAATATAATTTAAAAATTAAACATTTTTACATTGTACAATGGACAAGAGTTCTAGAAAAATGTTAATGTTGTCAAATCATAAAAAACATCCTTCTCTGTTATTTTGAATAAATGTTTTTCTTATTGATTCCTTTAAGGGAATGCTCTTAATGTTCCACTGTTTACATACTGTTTACTCACGTTTTTGTAGCTATCATATCATGGAAGGAAGACTTATATTATTTCTAACTAATTTCTTTTTTTTATTTGCAGTTTTTGGCCAGGGCAGGGTTTGAACCCGCCACCTCTGGCATATGGGGCTGGCGCCCTACTCCTTTGAGTCATAGTCACGGCCCTATTTCTAACTAATTTTTAAAAATGAAGAACCAGAGTGGTCCCTGTGGCTCAAGCAGTAGGGCGCCGGCCCCATATACCAGAAGTGGTGGGTTCAAACCTGACCCCAGCCAAAAACTAAAAAAAATTAAAAATGAAGAATCAATGCCAAGTTTAATTAAACTGCTTAAGTTATTACAAGGTGGAATTTGTAATATTACTAAAATAGAGTGCAACGAAATATCTGTATACTTAAATGGTGATCTCTACTCCTCATTCATATGGTTGATTATTGCTGACTTGCTTCACTTGAATTTTATTTTCAGCAATGTGTGTTTAAACGTGTTATCAGTTTCTGCTGGGGAATTGAGCATTACCACTATATTTGTTATGGTTAAAAATATATAAATCCGATTATTTCCTAATAAATAAAGCACAATTTAAGAATGTTAAGCAATGCTTAGGTCATTAGCATCATAATTTTCATAAAGCACATGTAACACAAGCCTTTAGAGAAAAATTCTGTAAATTTTCAGTGAATTTAGAACTCCCATTTCATTTCTGGTATTCCAAATAGTCTCTGAAACTGAACAAGTTTGAGATGTCCATCAATCCTGTCAGTCTACCATCCCTAACAGAATTTTTATGCCTCAGAGTAGCCTTGATCATTAAAAATATTCACATATATTTCAATATTTGGTTCTGTTTCTATTTCCCACATTGAACACTGAATGCTAACATGAGAAATTAAAAAAAAAAAAAGGTAGTAGGAATACTATCACAATCTGCTTTATTTAACAAGACAAAATTGTTGCATTTTCTAAATTGTTTCTGGCCTGCTAAGAATGAACATTTCCCCCCAAAATACTTTTCATTACTAAGGAAGAATAATAACCAACAGTAATAATTTATAAATTCAGCTATTTGTTTCCCCTTTTAAATTTGTTGAGGACTACATATACCTTTTAGTGCAATGCTCTGTCTGCATTCACAGTCCTAGTTGTGGAGAAGTGTTAGCTTGCCTTGTAAAAGGTCCTGGCTCAAGGGGTCACCTCAGGCTACCAAGAGTCGGGTCCCAGATTTTCAGGACAAATTTTGAAATAACAGTTTCTCAATCATACCACATGTATCCAGGATTTTAGAGTATATCATAACAAAGCTTCTCAAGCAGTTTTTAAGATTTAAGATCCAAAAATTGTGTAATACATGTATATAAAATTAGGCCATGGCCCAGAAATTCTAGGATGAGTAAAGTGAGTAAATTAAAACTCTACTGAAACATTTCCAAGTAAATACTGACTGTGTTGTTTTGGGAGATATATTTTCTAATCCTGGAGACTTAGAGGGCAAAAATGTTCTTTTAGGCCCTCAGAGATATTATAGATCAAAGATTTTATTCCAGAAAAGGGACAATTCTTAATATATTATATAGTTTAAAGTATAAGATGATTTTCACTTTTAGTTTGCAATACTTTCAGTTTTAATTTAAAATTATATGCAGGCAAAATAATAAACTTAGTATGGAAAAAGTAGTATTATAAATATTATAAAAATTAATTACAAATCAATAAAAATTACTTCCTATAGGGATATGTGTTTGTTACATATTATTGTCTAATTCAGAAAACTTGTGATAGTATATGTAATCCTAAATTCTATGTTTGAATTTCAGAGTGATAAATAAGGATTCTCCCTCCCTCCACAAAAACCTCATGTTTTCAGAGATGGCAGTAGGACAATTTATCTATATGGTGTGATTTAAAGTTGTACAAATGGCACAGTTTTCTTCACTATCTTCTCCCCTCTTGAACGCTTTACATGTTGATATTGATTTATTCTAAATTAAACCAATTTATAATTTGCATGTAATGACAAATACACTAAATAAATACCATAGAATAATTAAATTTTGTATCATTCACCATCACTTGCTGTGAATTGTTATAGCCTGATAACTTACCTTTAATAATTTTAGTGGGTGAGAGCAGAAATGGATGACGATGAGGGTAAGAATAAGATGAAGAGTTTCTGGGAGATGAGGTATTCCCAGATAGGACAGAGCTGCTGGGTGAAATGCTATAGCAAATGCTGTGAAAAGGGGTAGAGAAAATGCCCAGAGGAATGGCACGCGAGGGAGACGGCTGCCAAGGCGAGTCTTGCTTATTTTAAGTTTAGGCATATCCTGGGAATGCATGTGCTATTCTTTTGCCTGCATATAATTTTAAACTAAAACTGAAATATCTAAGTATTTCAAACTAAAAAATTCTTAGGTAGAAGTAAGTTCCAAATGTTAAGTTCACAAGCAGATTAGTAAATATTCTTTGTTTGTTGGTTTGTGGCCTTTGCTGCTAAGGTCTAATCCAAAGTCTAAACTGACCCACTTTTATTTGCTCAGTCCCTAATTACTCATTCTGTAGTCTTTGCCACTTTCTCTCGTTCCCAGCTATGCCTACCCCACCTCCCTCCTCACACCACTCCCCACCTGCCCAGGCCTTTGAGATTCTGCCAACCAACCTATTCTGTGCTCAGTTAACTAATGCGTACCTTACCTACTTAACAACTTTAATGAGTCTCAGAACACAGTGCATGAAAAGGGCATGATGTAATTGGAAAAAAAGAATTGCATTTTAGCTTGAAATTATAAGGAGGCATTATAAAAATGGTTCAAAGAAAGCAAAGTAACTGAGCAGGAAAAAAAACCTCACAAAATAATGACAGAAAAAAAATATTAGACAGAGCACTTTTATTTGTTTTAACATTTTAATTTAAAACCAAATTTCTCATCAGCCTTGTTAACTGGAAATGGATAGAAAAACAATTATAGAAATATTCTTTCCTAAAAGGGTTTATTTTTCAGCTAAATTAAGCAATATATGACTTCAAAAACTATAACATAAATTTAAACTTAGAACAAATAGACTAGATGTTCAGTGGATTTATAGCTGCTAGTTTCCAGGGTTCATGTTATGGAGCTTTAAGTGAACTACACAGTTGTCCCCTTGTCTTCTCTGATATTTTACCTTTGTTACTGTCTACTATTCCCTTTCCATGGGTTCTCCATAATCTATAGTTATGATGTAAAGGTTTCCATATAGTTTTATTTTTATTCATTCATTCTTTCTTTCTTCTATTCAAGCAATGTTCATTTTTTGTGTGACTGCTAAGTGCTAGGTATGATGGCAATCATTTTCCAAAACAGTGCATTTAGTGTGGAAAATGGAAAGAATGAGTATTTTATTTTATTATATTGACATATTGTTTTTATCACATAAACTCTGATTACTGAGATAAGCAAAAGATACAGGATTATTTAGATAAAACAAATAACCCAAATTGGGATTGGTGGATAAAGTAAGGTAGCAGTGGAGAGTAGGCTTGTAAGAGGTGGAATGAAGAGAGAAATGTCAAGGGTGAGATTTGTATCTTGGGGAGGTTTTGAAAGTTGAGTAGGAATTAGCCAGGTAAGGAAGACAAGACAGACATTAAAGACTAAGGAAAACACCAAGCCCATATAAGAGAACTGAGAGTAGTTCTGTAAAACTAGAAGACAAAAA